TGTTATCATTGTTGATCTGGCATCACGATTTCAGTCACTTTCCCACCACCGTAACGAAGCTACTCTATACATTTTCTATAAATATTTACACGGTAAATGCTCTGATGAGCTTTCATCCTTGGTACGTCCAATTTGCGGATTTAAACGCAGTATCAAATTGACAGTTAGGTATCGTCAGTTGAAATTGCTAGACGCAACCATATCTTCTACGCGCCAACAGTTTCTTGTTTATTCTCTCGAACTTCCCGATTGTAGAAGTCTTTCCCTGCTTTTTTTTTTCTAATCAACTTTGATCTTCAGACATTTAAATCATGTCAACCATCATCATTTGTTTCCTTGTCCTCTGTGAAATGTTAATATTCGAACTCAAAAGAATCAATATTTGAGGTTAAACAGTTTATTATTTGAATCCAAAAGATCAGTATTTGAATGAAAACAAAATCAATGCTCAGATCGTAATATTTCAATATTTGAATCAAAAGAGTTCAAATTTGAATCAAAATAATCCATGGTTGAACTGAAAACGTTCAACAATTGAACGGAAACAATTAAAATTGTAAAGAAAATAGTCGACATTTGAACCGAAATAGTTAACGTTTTTTTGTGATGCCAACAAATACTCGTTGTCACTTCCGTAATGCTCGTGGTAATAGAGACATTCTAATCGCAGATACAACTATAGTATGCCTTTGAAGATTTGAGGTATCAGACGCCTTCGAATAAGACTCGCACTAATAGTACTTGTTCAATAATACTCGCTCGGATAGTAATTCGTATAGTGAACCGAATAGAGAAATAGTATAATGAATAGAGTAGAGACTTGCGGTCCGTATAGTAATAGAGGATAGAGTAGAAATGGCGATCGGAATAGTATAGAGGATGGAATAGAATTGGAGATCCGAATAGTAATAGAGGATAGACCAGAAATACCAAACAAGCTAGGCGTCATGCGACTTCCTATATATGCGTTTTCTCTATGATCACTTGATCCACTTGATTCATTAATGGTATCGCATGTGTTTGCTCACTGGCGATCTATGTTCAAACTCAAGTGTCGGCAGTGACACTTTATTCCTATAAAATACGATTAAACTGAAACAGTTAAATATCTGAATGGAATCTGTATTACGTGTGAATCATTACTGACAATATTTGAAAAACGGGACCGAATATGTGAATCAAAACAGTTAATGTTCTAAAGCAAAATATTTGAATAAAAGCAGTTTAGAATGAACAACACGTCATTCTTTGAACAAAACCTTTTGAAATTTTCAATCAAACGGTCCAATGGATTGAAAACTGAATTGACTCAAGTGGTTCAGATCTTCGTTTCCCAGGAAAATTTATTAATAAATTTTACAAGAACTGCCCATTTTATTAGCGTCACATTTTAAGCCACTGAACCTTTAAGAACACCCCAAAACATTAACTTCTAATTATTTGATCGGAAGATGGAAAAGGCACACGTATATATTTCTCGCAATTCTTTATATACTGAAAAGGTTGAGTCGATTATAACAGCTAGATCAACTAATGGACGACTCGGATAGTCGGATACTCACAGGTAATTAATTCTTCTATGTGCCGGGTCATTTCAAGAGGTTGGCAAACACAGTCCTCCCCAATTCCCTGTCCTTTGTAACATTGTAATATTTTTCTTTTTGTTATCATTCGTAAACTTTACTCCGACATCCAATTCCTCAAGCTCGCTAGATAGCTTATGCTGTCCTTTTTGCCTTCAACATCGTTCTAAAGTGGAACCATTTTTTCTGTTGTTCCAAATCTATTCTTCATTCTCCTTCTAACAGCAAACATTACCTTCGCTTCTTTGAGGATAAGCTTGCACTCATTACGAGAAGAGACAAAGAGACCTCTGTTGCAATCAGGCCTGTCGAACTGGTACAACCGGAAGAAGTGATTCCAGTGACCAATAGCGGCCGAGCATGCAGATGGGAATCAAGAAGAATGTGATTAACTTGGTATTTCCTTACTGGAATGAAAGCATCGATGTCGGCTTTCACCCAGGAGAAGTTAGATGCGCATTTTTGATCAGGATGATTATAAACTTCTTTGAAAGGGACGCCACGAAGAAAATCACAGAACGAGTCCCAATCCGCTCGTTGATTTCAGAAAGATATTCTGTTGGTAGGAGGTTCTGGGCTGGTGGTGGAACGAAAAGAGATGTGTACAGACACTACCGCATGATAAGAGTTGTCAAGAGAGCAGAGTTGCATAGTACTACATGATTCAGGGATAGTGGAAAAAAGGGAGGTATAGAAGAGAAGCGTGTCCATCCACCGGGGAAACGCGTGGGAAAGTCCACCGTTAGAGACTGATTGATTGATAAGGTCAGGGTTTGAATACCAGCGAAGTCAGTTTAAGCCACCTGGCATGGTGAGCTTTTAAGCAACCGAATACAAATATATATGCAAACGAGTATAGGAAGATGACCTTGTCTATATTATCAGAAAATCTATCTAACACGCAACAGTCTATCGATTTATCATGTATTCAATATTGGTTACTTCCGGTCCGGTGATTCTGTAATATATTTAGAATTTCTTAATAAAATCCGAAGAACAATCTGCAATGTTATCATTGTTGATCTGGCATCACGCCTTCAGTCACGTCCCACCGCCGTAACGAAGTTACTCTATACCTTTTCTATAAATATTTACACGGTAAATGCTCTGATGAGCTTTCATCCTTGGTACCTCCATTTTGCGTAATTTAATCGCAATATCAAATTGACAGTTAGGTATCGTCAGTTGAAATTGCTAGACGCAACCATGTGTTCTAAGCCAAGAGTTTCTTGTCTATTCTCTCGCACTTCCTGATTGTAGAAATCTTTTCCTGCTTTTTTCTTTCTAATTAACTTTGATCTTCAGATATTTAAATATCAACCATCATCATTTGATCCTTAATACCTTGTCCTCTGTGAAATGTTAATATTCGAACTCAAAAGAATCAATATTTGAGGTTAAACAGTTTATTATTTGAATCCAAAAGATCAGTATTTGAATCAAAACAAAATCAATGCTCAGATCGTAATATTTCAATATTTGAATCAAAATAGTTCAAATTTAAGTCAAAATACTGAAAAGAACGGTAGAGAAAAAAAGAGATAGCTGACAGAGTTTAGTAGAGACAGAGACACATGTAAAAATGGTCTGGAGATTCGAGAGAGAGTTCCCTAGCTAGCGGGAGATATTCGCGGATATATACACTCAGGCCATGCGTGTGGATATTAGTCATTGCTAAAGGGAGAAAGGTAGCTAGGAATCGAAAAATCAGATGATGGGCTTGAAGAGTTAAGATTAGATTCGCAGAGAGCTAGGATGTCCGGAGACTTTTCAAAGAGGAACGATTTTACACTGCAGAAGTTGGTACGAATACCACGAATGTTGGAGAAAGAAAGGTTGAGGGGTCTAGGTGTTTTTTTTTTTTTTTTTTTTTGGTAAGCTGGTTTATTTTTCTATATTTGGTTGGATGGTGTGTAAAGAAAAACCTAGGGTAGTAGTAGCAGTCGGTCGTCTAATGTAACATGTTCGGGAAGGGAACGGGCGCAGACTGCAACATAGTGTGGCCTCGGAGTTGTCCACCGTAGGTGTTTGCAGGGACACCCTTCCAGACGCGACATGGCACTGCAAAAAAAAAACAAAAAAAAGACATTATTATTCGGCCGTTCATCAGAGCCGCCTCTCAAGAGGTTACGCATGTGTTCGGGCTCTTAACTACAGCAATTAGAAAACAGCCATTCCGACACCCTCAATGCGAATAGACATGTCTACCATAGACATATATCACAAAAAATCTTGACAGCATCACTATTAAGGACTGAGAAAAAGAAAGGAACTGGAAACCCCTTCCTAAACAGGAAACAATGAATGAGCCTCTAATGTTCAAGAAAAGCGGGGAGTATGGCCTGGACGATAGAAATTTACTCGTATTAAAAAAGTTAACAAGTTAACTATTCGGATCGTCATTTCTAATCTATCCTCTATTACTATTCGGACCGCTATTCTCTACTCTATTCACTATACTGTTTCTCTAGTCAGATCACAATACGGATTACTATTCCAGCGAATATTAGTGAGAAAGTACTATTAGTGCGAGATTATTCAAAGGCGTTTGACACCAGTATTGTTCGACGGCGTAGTATAGTTGTATCAGCGATTACAAATTCTTTTCTACAACGAGTATTACGAAAATGATATCGAGCATCACCAAAGTGGCAAGGAGTGTTCGTTGATATAACAAAACTGATATTCCATCCTACTTCAAAAAAAGGTTACGAAGGAAATTCATCAATACTAGAAAGAAAGATAACAGACTGGACTGGAGAAGCCTATTTTCCTGAAAATTGATCTAAGAGAAAGATTTTTCTAAAGTAGCAAAATCTGAGCTGTCAAGGAGCACCGAATCTTTCTTTTTAAGGAAGAGGTTAATACTACTATTATCCTCGTTGAAATTTTGGGGTCAACCCTCAAAACAAGTGTTGTACAAATATACATAAGCATTATGAAGAGGAACAATGATATGATAAAGAATATGTGGTTACACTTGTATAGTACCAAACATAACACGTAACATATGAGAAAAATATAATCTTTTACACAGCATATACTTCCCAGAAATATTATGAAATGCAGGCCACTGATAAGCTGAGCCTGATAGAGGGAGAAATGTTGGAACAATGGCTTCAAATTTGCAGAAACAGTGCCAAAATGTACAATAGTAACCACATCTAGTCATTGTTTTTGCATACAGAAATATCCAATGTTTTTGTTGCTTGCATTTGAGAAAAGTAAAAAAAAATCTAAAAAGAGAATTCACGGCACACAACAATAATTTTTTTTAACTGAACACAAATGCAAGAAGGCTGATATTCTTCTGTTTTTCTTAACGTCGCCTACTTTTCAACGACATCTCCAGTAATGTTAACTATTTCTTTCTTTTGTTGGATTATCCATCCCCCTAAAGACAATGAGATAATATTTTCAGGTAGAAAAAACTTGGGGCTGCACTGGAAAATTCAAGTTCAGAAAAACCGATTTCAGAGACATATAAGAAGAAGAATAAGAGAAAATGCAAAGCAATAGATAAAGGGGCACTATCGATAAATACTTTTGCCTCACCGCCTTTCGACAAAACAATGAAAAGCGTGAGAAATCAAAGGAAGAGAAAGAAAAGGTAAGTGCAATCTCAAAGAATAAATGTAGCCGGTATGTGCGTGGCTGTGGCTGTGTATACGCGTGTGCGGTAGACAGATTGAAAAATGATAGTGAGGGGAGAATCAGAGAGTGACGTATAAGCATCAAAAGGGAAAAATGAGAGAGGAGAAAAGAGAGGGAAGGAAAGCACTTAGGTAGAACGCTAAGTATAAGTGGACGAAAGACATTTGTTCAATTTTACGACATTAAAGGGGCTTACTCTTCGACCTAGTCGATGCTATTGGGGAAAAACAAATTGAAGAGCCTGGCAAAAGAAGTTGCTTTCCCCCTACCGAAATCTATCACTTGCACTTTTAGTCACAGGCAGTTTATAGATTCGAAAAGAGACATTAGGCTTCACCCGAAATTTCTACTGATATGATAGTACCACTCGTTACCTAAAATTTTTATATATGTCACTTTTCTTTTTTCCTTTTCTTCGCCGAATTAGATTAGATAGATAGATAGATAGATAGATAGATAGATAGATAGATAGAAAGCACCCGAGACAGATAAGTAACGGTATGAGATAGATAGATAGATAGATAGATAGATAGATAGATAGATAGATAGATAGATAGAAATCATCCGAGACAGAGAAGTAACGGTATGAGATAGATAGATAGATAGATAGATAGATAGATAGATAGATAGATAGATAGATAGATAGATAGATTTTGTGCATGCTTAAATATCTTTTCATTGTCTGGTGTGAAAGGAATTGGATAGTTTCTAGAAAGGCAGATTTTGTTCTGAAAATATGACGACTGCCAAGTGACTAGAATTTAAATAATCGAAAACTTAGCGGCAAACAAAATAAACAATTAGCTCAGCAACTAAACATTCGTCTCATGGAAGTACAAAAACTTCCGTCGCTGAAATTCCTACATATGTGTGGGACCAAATAAGGATTGTACTCAATTTAATCTAATTATCTGTTGAAACATGCTATATATATATATATATATATATATATATATATATATATATATATATATAAATGACAATAGGAAAACTGTAGTTATTGATGACGCGTTTCGTCCAATGTGGACTTTCTCAAAGCAAAAAACGAAATGAATTTAATTAACGAAATTAACTAATAATACCAAAAAACAGAATGTTCTTCGCAACTAGAGAAATGTAAAGAACGCTGTAGAGACGATTACAAACACTGGTAGACAATGTTAGCGGCGATGTAGAATCTTAACCCTGCACTGTACTTCTACCATTATACTGCTCAAAATAATTTTTTTTTTTTTTATGAAAATTGAACAATATTTAATAAAGTTATTAAGAACTTAAATATAAATAGGGAATTTCTGCTCACCCTGTATACGCCAAGAAACAAGCAAGGAAAATAATTGTTGTCAGTGGTTACAACATTAGGATAAAAAAAAAAAACAACAATGGTTACAATTAAATGTCGAATATATGGTGTCCGTTAATCATTACCTTCATAAATAATCGTATTTTTAACTTATGTTTTTAGCATTAAAGGTTGCAGTTGGATGATGGGAAATTTTCCAATAATTTCGAACCCGAAAACAACGATTTATTCTTCAGTTGTTATTGGACGTTATTTTTACCAACATTCAGTTAAGTAGTATTTTTAAAAATTTTATCTAATTTAACTTTAACTGCATTTTAATCATTGGCAAGAGCATTCATTATACAGTGATAGTTGGTTAGTTAGTCGTGCATTCCATTGCAGGTGTAATGAGGGTAATCCTCGGGGGTTATAGAAGGATAATGAGAATATCTTGGACAGAGCATATGACCAACAAGGAAGTTTTAGGGAAAATGGAAAAAAAAAAAAGAAAAATGTGAACTTTCTGGGATACATAATTATCAGGTCATCCCATAAGTTCTGTCCGAATTTTGAATAAAGAAAACAAGTGACCAAATGTTACATTTAATTACAGATTCAATCAACAATGTATTTTCCCTGATTATCTATGACTTCCTTCCATCTCTTAACAAGCTTACTAATTCCATTACTGTAAAATTCTTTTGGCTTTGATTCGAAGTACTCACAAATGTCAGTTTTAACCTCTTCCTGTGTTACAAAAGCTGTTTCTTCCAAATGATTCTGTAAGCTACGAAACAAATGGTAGTCTGAAGGAGCAAGATCGGGAGAATAAGGTGGATGAGGAATTTTCTCCCAACCAAGTTCTTCGATCTTTTGTGACGTGATTCTTGCTCTGTGGGGTCGCGCATTGTCCTGATGAAACATCACCTCTTTTCGATTCACTAGAGCAGGTCTTTTTTTCATCAAAGCTTGGTTGAAACGCTCTAATTGCTAACAGTATATTTGAGCATTAATTGTTGCATTAGGATTCAAAGTGGATTATTTCTTGGTGATCCCACCAGATTGAAAGAAGAACCTTTTGCCCATGAAGTTCCCTTCTCGGCTGTGTCTGGGGTCCTTCCCCTTTACCAAGCCACTGTCTACGACGCTTAACATTTCGATAAAAGATCCATTTTTCGTCGCCAGTCACAAGTCTATCCAAAAAGGTGAAACAAGTTGGGGAGAATGGAGTGAAGAGCAGATGTTAACTCGAGATATGAGGTTGTTTTCAGACAATTCATGAGGCACCCATTTTCCAAGTTTAGAATGTGTTTAATCCTGAAACAGACTTTGTCTACTGCGTGTCGGATATAATGTCCACTTTTATATTTTATATTTACATATACCTTATCCTTGATATTGTACACTTTAACCCACAAATATAACATGCCTTAAAACTATATCTCATCAGATATATCATATATATATATATATATATATATATATATATATATATATATATATATATATATATATATATATATAAAATAGGAATTATATATATGTTTATTATAAGGAGGTATTGGGCATTGCTTGATCGGTGATACACTTCGTGGCCGTGTTTGTTTAAAACACGTCGGATCTAACGAAGGTTTCTCCTACAAAGAGGGATACAATTTTGAAACCTGTCAGAGGGAGCATCCTTTTCTTTAATAAAATTTCTCGAATATTGAGACCGGTATATTAAAATAAATATAGTGTTTAATAAAAAAACAAAAAAAACAGATCAACTACTCAAACATGGGTACCCAATAAAATCAACGCTTAAAGTCATAAAATATGTATGATTATATATATATATATATATATATATATGACTTCAGATGCTTTCTAGATATTACTGCAGTCATTGGCTTCCTTTATGGGGTAAAGTACGCAATATCAGGGATAGAACGTATATAAATATAAAATTGTATTCAACACCCACAACACCGACATTCTGTATCATGCTTAATCGTCTGGACGATATATATATATATATATATATATATATATATATATATATATATATATATATATATATATATATATATATATATATAATATATTATAAATTAAAAAAATATTAATGTTCTTTTATGAAAATATTTATTTATTTGTATATATATTTGATATTTCAGATTGGCCTCAATCTTTCTTCAGAAATATCTGTTTGTTTACAAGTATCGCCCTAACGTAAATCTAACTGTAATAATATTTTTGATGTTGTTTAAAAAAATAAAAAAAATAAAATAAGAAATAAAAAAATTTTTAACAATATCTAAAAAAATGTTTAACTATTGAAATATTTATATAGATTTAAAATACCCAAGTCTTTAATTAACCCTAGTTTATATGTATTTAATTTTAAAATCCAGTATTTTTTCTTTTTTTCTGCGTAGAACTGAAATCAGAATCTATCAATAAACATTTACAGTTTTCTAATGAGTGTCCTGATTGATTAAAGTGTTCAACTATGGGGGAGTAAGGATTGTTTTGATGTATGTATATATATATATATATATGTATGAGGTGATGCAATTTTGGGTGATATTCAATGAACTTCTTTTTTTTTTATCTAAGATTTGAAATAGTCTTAGGTTCACACCATTTTTCTGCTGACCGGGAAAAATTTACCATATAAATATAATTAAACAGTCTAAATATGGCCAGAAGCCTCAAAACCATCGATGACTTGTGACTTCAATCAGCTCCCAATACCAATGCTTATAAATGGGAATGTGGCCGAGTAATTAGACCAGATATAAGGTATATAAATATAAAAGAGGACATTCAATTCAACACCAACAAACCTACATTCTATACCGTGCATAATCTTCTCATGATATATATATATATATATATATATATATATATATATATATATATACAAAAACATATATATATATATATATATATATATATATATATATATATATATATATATATATATATATATATATACAGAGAGAGAGAGAGTGAGAGAATATATATGGAATTCTTTTTTATTTAATTTAACGAAAGTTGTATAATAAACTAACATATTAAGTGTATTTCACAACTAATAATCATGAAAATAAGGACAGGACACCACTAAAATCTGACCTTTACTTTGTCGGGTGATAGGAAGGGTACTTAAATAAGTATTTAATATATATTTAATATATTTCTTCCGAAATAGATATTTTATTCTTGGGGTATTTATTTTTATTTTAATGATTTGAGTATCTGTAGTCGTTTTTTTCCAGTTTTAGTAATATAGAAAATAATAAATGTAGTTCTTACATGAAAAAGCGGCACGATAGCTTAAACTGGCACGTAATAATCGGATAGTTGTTGAATAATTAACATGTGACGCGAAGACGCCGTATTAGAAAAATGATACGACATTGCACTAAAAACCAGAAACACTTTAATGGTGAATAATGAAGAGAGGGATATTAAGCAATGGATAATTCTTAGTGAGATACGCACAGGAATCTAGAAATAATAAGCTATTTATTGAAAAATATTTTTAAAAATGTCTTTATCAAGGAAGTTCCGTAAAATTTTAACATTTAGTATATTTTTTTCAATTTATTTCGCTTCGTCAGAATTTGGAATGAAGTGCAAAAAATGTGGAGTTGTTTCGATTTTTTAAATTTCATGGTGCTTTTTTTCATTGGTTGGTTAAACATCACGTGTTCATACCGTGGTGTTAGTATGAATATATATATATGCCTCAATTTTCTTTTAAGGGTATCAAGTTTTTATATGTATTTATGTATGTATGTATGTATGTATGTATGTGTGTGTGTTTTATTTATATATTTATGAAAACTCACTGTCTATAAACACATTATATTTCAGTAAATAAAGTCGGAATGTTACAGTTCAACCCTCCTTTACAACATATATGGAAACCAATGGAAATGGCCAAATATCAATTGACCTAATATTGAACGTTCCCATTTTGAATTTCTAAATACAAACTGCTTAGTCATTGTTTTTACATCTGAAAAAAAAACAAACAAAAGAAAAACGTTATTTTTAATACATATTCTGTCTTGTTTTTGATTCCTTCCATCGACTGATGACGACAGTACCATTAGTGGAATCGCCAATAACAACTTAAGTCAAGTCGCAACGCAGTAAAAGCCCGGGAAAATTCACAAATGGAAGCCGAGAAATACATTCCATCGCTGCTGATTTTTGTAAAAGGCACAAAAGGCAGCTAGAACGGGCAAAGAAGATTATGATTACGAATAGACACAAGGATACAAAACTCACATATACACTGACCACTCCCTCACTTATTCTCTCTCTCTCTCACTCTCACTCACTCTCTCTCCCTCACTCACTCTCTCTCTCACTCTCAC